ATACTTCAGAAAGCTATGAGAGGATTGTGATAGATGATGATTCTATTTAAAGTAAACAGAGGATTGTACACACCATGATAGTACTAATAAAATGTAAAAGAAAATTGTAGCCAACAGCAAAATATGATGGTACTACTAAAATTGAATAAAAGATTGTACATAATAGCAAAATATGATGGTACTACTAAAATTTAATAGGGATTGTACACATCTCGCTATTGTGAGCGTGGTAATGTCTCAAGCTTTTACTAATTAGAAAGACAGATTTTGTGAACTTGATAATAGCTTATTAAAATGTGAACGAATTAAGATCTTCCATCTTTATCACAAATTTATACAGGCCTACTGGTTTACTGATTTCGTGAGAATTTAATTAAAATTAAATCTAAAACTAATAAGAGTTGATTTGATCTTGCATTGACCAGCTAAACACTGGTCTACCATCAACGTCATGCAGTGATCATGAAAATATCCAGAAAATAAGGAATCTCTCCTTGATAACAATTGAATTTGTTTGTTCAATATTTTCAATTAGTCATATGGCGATATTCAACCTCTATAAATAAACGTTTAACACAATAGTTAAGGTGGGTTATTTGCATCTTCGTCTTTTAACTAAAACGTAGACTATTAGAGTTTTTAAAAATATTGTTGTTTATGTTTTTTTAATTGCACAGCACATGTATGTTTACTGTCTAAATTGTCAGTTATATGTCTAAGCTTCAGTCGATGCTCTCGTGACTACTGCTAGTTTTAGCAATAGTTAACAGTCATGTGCATACCTTAAGTTTATCCCATCATTAAAAAAGAAAGAAATAATTTGCATATATAATTTTAGACTCATGATAAAAAAATGATCTGTGTGTCTTAAGTGAATTCGAGCCCATCGTTTAGAAAACAATAATTAGAGAGTTTCCGAAATGTTATTTGAGTAATTTTATTTTGCAAGCATGTCGTATTTGTGAAATAAATAAACATCTTTAAATGTCCTTTGTGTTAACCGTCCACTGATCATTAGCTTAATTAATTACCGATAATCAATAAACAGTATATCAACAGAGTTCAACAACATAAGATCAGAAGTATTTCAGTTTAAAATAGGCCTAAAACCACGTTACTTCATCACATCTATATTGAATGCGTTTGTTACTAGTTTTTAATACCTTACGTTAAATAAAACCCATGAAAATATTTGTTTATAAAACATGAGTTGACTCGACTTCAACAAAATTAGACGCTGTCTTAATTTCTTGCGTGTTGCATGTTTTACAACAACAAAACAACGTTATAAAAATAAATAGAATGGCCTTGGCCACAGGTGTGAAGTATCGAAGTCCAACCTGCGTTGCTATTTTTAGGGAAACTTGACCAAATTGTGTCACTCACTCTTACACAGACACGTAATTTATGAAGTTGTATTTTTTAAACCGTTTTTCTGACTATTAAACTAAAATTTGGTTAATCAATTTAGATTAAATTAGTTTGCTTGAGGGTGGTTAAACAAGCAGAACACACATCGCGCTGCAGTGATCCTCAAAGTATCAAGATTGTCAGGAAACTCTTTTTTCTTGATAACAGTTAAGTCATATACTTAAACTTCTAGTATAGACAATCGCACGATAATCTAGCTTAACTTACAAGGCTGTTGATTTAAATTAAAAGACCACATATTAATCGTGTGTTTATTCGCCGTATTTCGCAATGTGTAGTATCATTTTAACTCTAATCGAATTAAAAAGAAGCATGATAATGTTCTCATGTTATGATGCATTTCATACATGTATTACAAAATGACACAATAATACATTACATACAATATATTTAAAAAAAAGCTTTTTTTAATTTGTAATTATTTTTTAAGTAGAAGGGTGGTGCAAGTTGTTTTGTCTATGCGGTTTAATTTTTTATATTTAAGAAAAATATCCTGAAATTCTCTAGCTTGAGAATTAGTCTGTTGAAGAAAAACGAATATTAATTAAATTTTAACTAATTTAGCAACATCCTGCAATTACCTTCAAACAAACGAGTTGTGTAGAGGTTTTCACGAAGGTTTGATTCAACAAACGGCTAGAAAGTATTACAGGTAAGTGAAAGCTGCTGTCTTTAATGATCAGTGCAACCTTTTTTACGGTCTAGTAAATAGAAATAGTTTATTAAGCTTTTAAAAGTATATAGTCAACTATAACGTGAGTGTGTGATTTTGTGATTGTGTAATTGTGTATAATCTAATCTTTATAAGAGACAATTTTCTCCTAAATATATGAGTAAAATAGTTATATATATATATATATATATATATATATATATATATATATATATATATATATATATATATAAAATGTTTTCTTCAGACATGATACGTGCATATAATTATCCTGATGTTGGTGCTTGCAATAGGTCAGTAGAAGTACCAGACGTGTTTCTGATACAGTTAAATATTTATCTAACTGCTTATTGTGCATTTGGATCAACTTACTAGTTTAATCGTAGTGGCTCCTGTGGATTAATATGAAACAATTTTTAAAAATTCACAATGCCTCCCCGTAAGGCTTAGGGCAGAAAAAAAAACTTTACTATGCCTCCCTGTAGGGCATAAACAACAAGACAACTCCACCAAACCTCCCAGACCTGGGCGAGCTGGCAAAGTTTATGCTATTGTTTGCCTCAGGTCAACACCTTATCCATCCCTCTCCTCCACGTCTAAATGACATCTCCCTCTATTCTAAATGACATCTCCATCTATTCTAAATGACATCGAATCTATTCTAAATTACATCTCCCTCTATTCTAAATGACATCTCCCTCTACTCTAAATGACATCTCCCTCTATTCTAGATGACATCTCCCTCTATTCTAAATGACATCTCCCTCTATTCTAAAAGACATATCCCTCTATTTCTCTCCTGGTTGAGTCCATGTCAATTACGTTATGATTTATTTTTAGCCGGATTCTTTGCTCCATATCATGTTGGGCTCTGGTTTTTTTTTTTTAAGTTTTACACGTAGTGCTGGCAGAGTTTCTTCCAGGCATCTCTTCGCCCCCCCCCCCCCCCCCCCCCCCGATAGAAATGAAATTTATATAATTTATATAGAAAATATATACTTTTTCCAAAAAATGTTAATGTGTATAGTTAAATAAAGAATATTCTTTAAACTTAGCAATCCATTGGGCAGATGAAGTAGCATACATATGTTTCTTGACCTCAGCATATAATTGGAAAATTTGGTCAGGACATTGCTCTGCTGCCTTTACATTCCCCAATTTGAGTTCGGTACCCATTAGAGCTGGGTGGACTCAGGGACGTTCTACTGACTTTGACCGAATTCGAACTCGACACTTTCGGGTTAGCAGTCTGGCACTCTAACCACTTTGGCCAAGCCGTCTCATAATGTGTATAATTATTTGTATAAAAAATGTATATATTTTATAGAATATTACAATGGAGTTCTTTGCATGGCTGATATCTAAATTTATCTTACTAAGTGCTGGATCTTTATTTCCTAAAAATACAGACAAGACCTGTCCTTTACTTTACTCGCCTGTGTGTGGCAGTGACGGGAACACCTATTCCAACAGCGGCTACAACAGCTACTGTGAGCTCCAAAGCTTTTATGAGAGAAAGCGAATTAGTTTTAATTTTTTCCGCTCATTTAAAAGCTTGTTGCTATACTTAAAAGTTTTTTTTTAAAATATTTGTTTTATTTTCTGCTTTTTAGTGATTCCTAATTTATGAAGTCGTCACGACTAAAAATATTTCCCTTAAAACACAATCAGTAGCACGCGATATCCAAAAGACCATTGTGTGCCTCATGCAAGCAGCCGCCCCTGATCATATTTTACAGACGATAGCAAGCTCTAAATCATGTAGCCTCCCCTTAGTTTCAAATCGTTTAAAAAAACTTTATTATCTGCCTCTAGTAGCCATCATTTGATCGACCGGCTCAACGATTGTAAACATTCTCTTGAACAACAGCTCACCAGACAGTTAGGGCGATTGCGCATAGTTAATTATCACCCCTTCAGTTATTGAATATAATAATCTATTGAGTGATTTAATTTTGTAATCTCCTTAAGTGTCAAAACCGTTAATTAATTTGAATGACTAATTAAGCCTCTAAGTAGATTAAAAACTAAATTGACTTCATATGTCATCAAAGTGGAACGTATCTTGAAAGTTTGAACGAAATAGCTACATTAGAAATGGGTCAAAGTTGAGTAACAAGATTTGTCTCAAACAGACGTTGCGAACTAAATAAAAGCTTGCAAAAACTAGTCACACTCATTCTTGGGTTTCCATTCTACATCAAACACACACCTCTATGTTTTTCAAATACACACTACCGAAAAACAGCAATTAGCATTTTCGTCAGTAACATTTTATTATTATATAGCTGTATTTTCTAAATGCAGTTGTTTTCTAAAACTAAATTTAAAACCTAAAAGGGAACGTATCGATCACTTTCTTGCAAAAACACTTCGATAACTTTCAACTAGAAAAACAGCGGTCCTCAATGGATTAGTGCATAACCCTTAAATGTCAACGAGTTTACTTTGTTAAGTTTTGATTACCAGCGGAACTAAAAGAAAAACTGCATTGATCACATGAACAAAATTTAAACTCAGTGGTCCATCAGTTATTAATATCCATAACATTTATTAGATTATAGAGTTCGGCTAAATAAATATACCCTAAATGTGTTATACCTAAACTCAATTGAAAGTTTTAGCTTATAACAGCGTCTTTACATTGTAGGCTACAATTGTAAAATCTGCCAAGTAAACATTTTCAAAAATAAATTAATTTGCCCCAATACATTTTTAAATTAATCGTCAACTATTGTTTTAGGCACGTTTATGTTTTAAAAGATATACTTTAAAATTCGTAATGCATGTAATTTAAATATCGATTGAATTTCAACAAAACCTTACCGAGTACTTACAAGATTTGAGAACCGCTTAATGAAAATGCTGAAGTGTGCAACAAAGTTAATGAATAAACAACGGATAAACAAACGAATAAACAACGAATTAATTAGCTGAGGCTCTAGGCTAAGGCTTAAAAGTAATAGCGGTACCCCCCTGGAGACATTTCATTGAGCCAGCTAGCACTGAGCAAGGTAAGGTACGGCTAATCTTTTTGTGGCATTGCACCATCATGATTTTATGAAGACTCGAGTCTACCCAGCTCTAATAGGTACCTGGCATAATTTAGGTTTAATAGATACCTGACGTAATACACCTTTAATGGGTATCGAGTTCAAGACTTTACAGATTTGATGTGTACATGATTTGAATATAACCCAGCTACTAATCTCTAATGTTTAAATGATGTGAATTTAACCCATCTCTGATGGGTACATATATCAAGTCTACACACATCTGACATGTATATGACTTCAGTCTGACCATGTCTTAGCTATACCAAACTCTGATGTGTAAATACGTCTACACAAATCTGGTGTGTACATGACTTCAATCTACCCATAACTGATTGATTTATGACTTAACTAATCAGAGATGAGTTAGACGACTTTGATCAACCTAGCTGTGGAAGGCTGACGAGACGTCTTTGGGTTAAAATGATAATCTCTTCTGTAGTGTTTACTTAAATACAGCGAGTGGACATCAGAACGTCAACAATTCATTCGCATGTAAACAGTTGAGAAACTTTTATACTTCGTTAGATTGGGTACAAAATATTTGGTCACATTGAAAAGCCTGAACTTGATTGTTTGTTTTTTACTAAGAGGATAAAAGTAAAGATTTTCTATGGACCTAACGATCATTGGGTAGATAAAGTAGAGTTCATATGTTTTTGATGTCGGCATATGAAGGGATATGCCAAGACGCCTTTACTGTAAATAACGTTAGTTAAAGTTGGGTGGACTCAACCGGATTTGAACTCGAGACTTTGGTGTCAACAGGCTAATGGTTTACCGTTAGGCCACAATGTCATCTTTGCCTAGAGGAAACACAAGTCATATTGTAAACAACAGGAGACAAGACCGGTTTATGTTTTCTCATGTACTGATCTAATGTTTCACACAGAGAGAAGTGCCGTCCCTTCACAATAGGGCTGGTAAGAAAGTCACAAACCAGTTCTACGGCTCAATAAAAACTGCATGAGCCATAGAACTGGTTGGTGACCTACTTACCAGCCCTATTGACTGCAGACAACTTAGTCACAAATAATTTATTTTTTGTATCATAATCTTTTCCCGTTCTTGGTCAAGACACAAGAGGGACCTCGGCATATGAAGAGATAGTGTGGTCAGTACAATGCACAGCCGAATTTATTTTCCCTTACGATGGGTGGACTCAGGGAGTTATTATGACTTAAACACGTATTTATACATTCTACTTACAGTTCAAAATATGTTGAGCATATACATTGTTTAAAAGAAGACATTCCTTTAGTAAAGTGACACGTCTTTGTTATACTTTCAGACATGAACTCTGTATTTTTCCTTGCTCTGGTCCTAGGCGTTGGTAAGTAGAGGAATTTTGTCTATTGTTCACATATTTCATCAGCATTTGCATATGTAGAGGTGTATTACATACAAAGGTGCAAGATACACAAGTTTACATTTGAAAAAAAAATTCTATAATTAGCGTTCTTTTTTTCAAAGTATACTTTTTCAACTAGTAACACTTGTTTTTGTATGAATACGTATGTTGATTGGACATTTAAGATTTCGTACATCAATCACGTCCTAACGAAGTATTGCTAATATTTCAATCCGCTTTAAGATGACATCATTAGGCCAAACTTGGGAAGGTTGCATAAGCCTAGCCGGTGGATTATTTTCTCATTCTCTTCCGCTGAAATCACGTACCAATGCACTTTTTACTAGGTCATGCAACGTATATAGAAACATTTATTTCAAATAATTAAGCTTAAAGGTGCTTAATTTAAAATGCTTTTTATAGTGCTGTAGAATATTTCAATTAAAAAACTTGATTAATTAAAGACTAGAGTTCACAGGATATGAAGGTGTTGGATTACGTTCGCATCAATGACAGTTTTCATAATGCTGTCCTGGACGCAGTGTAAGCTTTTGAAAAAAAATCATATTAATTATGTCTTATTAACCCTTTGCTTTTGGATTTCTTAAACAGCCTACGGGCAGCGCGACGCAGACGATAAGTGTTCGTTTGCTTGTCTAGCGGTCTTGCGCCCGGTTTGCGGTACCGACGGCGAGACATACTCCAACGAGTGCTACTTAATGCTAGCCAACTGCGACAAGAAACCAGAGGATCAGGTAAAGGTCGACTACAAGGGTGAGTGCAAGAACTGCCCGCGTGTCTGTACATTTGAATACAATCCTGTATGCGGCAGTGACGGGGTCACCTACAGCAACCTCTGCCATCTGAATGTCGCCAGCTGCCGCAAGCCAGACGACAACATACACCTTATCTCCCAAGGAAGCTGCACTAATAAGAGCAGATGAGTGCTAATCAGCAGGTGGTGCTCACGTCCAACGAAGCTTGTCAAGTGACTTTTGGATTCAAACATTTAAAATATAAAATATCAATGAATCGTAAAATTAAAAAAATAAAAATCTGGCAATGTAAAACTTCACGTTTTGTTCAGTTTTTATTCCTTATATTGAACATCTAATGCTATATCTGTACTACGTGTTTTTTTTTCTTTTTCTCTCTCTTCACGGTAAAAGTAAATTATAGTTTTTCTTCCAAACATGACGGTCTATGAAGGGTAGTGTGGTCAGCACTATGTCCAGCCGCCTTTACTTTGCTTATGGACTGTCTACTGTTTTTAACCCGGATTCGAACTCGAGACTTACAGCTAGGCCACTCCGTCTCTTACCGCATTGGGTACACAACAATAAAAAACCAATGTTTAACTTCGACAGTCTTAGCTCCAGCTCTTTCTCTCTTGTATATAAACATTACCGGCTTAAGATTTTGTTCATTAGCCTGACATTCCTCTCACCAGCTTGTAGACGTCTGGACTTCTCTCTGAAAACGTTTGCATCCCACCCAGAGGCGTGACAACTATGTACCCAGGCTCGGAAGGGTGGACATAGATTACGTAGACAAAAAAAAAACAACAACTAAAAACATAATATAAATCTGCAAAATAAGTAAAAATAAAAGTAAATATTATAAGATAATGAAATGTTAACGCTGACATTTATGCCAACAATTTTAATACTAGGTTAGTTTCGTAGAAAATATAATTCATTTTAAAGTTTTTTTTAAAACTGTAAATATATTTAAACAGACTTTCATTATATTACAACGCCAGACAATGAGTACTAACATTAGTAGTAACATATGTATGTATGTTCCGGTATATGTTACAATTGTAGCACTACTCAGCATTATTTACCTTACCGCTATAAGACGATTGCCTATTATGTAAAAAGACGTAAGTATTAGGTGTGGTCCTTTACGTCATCAATATAAAAAGTTAGGCTCTGTTGTTGGGGAATTATTTTTCTATATGCATCGTTACATACACTACATAAAAGCAAAATTCAGGGTTCTGTGAGTTAAATCTTTTATGTTGCAATTTGAAGCACTGGGATCAAAAGGGGAGACAAACGATATAATAAGAATGTCAATTCTATTCAGGTTATCTCCAGAGCAAGATAAGAATCTACAACACAAATGTTATAACTGTATTGCTTTAAATTTCGGAGAATTGAAGTGTTACTAACACTATTACAGACAGATCTTCAAGATCAAGGGTCAATAAAAGATATGTGGCAAGACACAAAAGCAAATAGATAAGGACATAAAAGCCTGGGATGGATTGGACACACTTTGAGAAGGGAAGATTAAACTTGTTGTTGTTGTAATTTTGAATAAAAAATGTTCACCCTAGATCTTCTTGATGCCAAGTTTTGATAAATATTTTAGAATTTATAAGGGTGGTAGACTTTGTGTGCCGTCATTTGAGGTCTTAGATTCTGGTATTTGGTGACAATATTTAAGGCTAAGGGGGGGGGGGGGAGGGGCGGGACGGGACTGGATAAAATAGTAAAAAAAACTTTATGACGCCGTTTATTGTATCTTTCAATATCATGTATGGATGAAAAAGTGATGTATTGACCCGTTGAGCTGGGTTTAATTATAAAAACACAAACACTGCCGTCTTAAAAGTTAAATACTTAAATGAAGGATACGACGTTTTTGTTTGTTTAAAAATGTGAGTACTTAAAATTTAATTCAACATGTAGACGTCCACTGTGATTTCACCCCTCCCCCCCTATGATTGCCAAGCGTCCATAATAAATGGATGACCCGCAGTAATAAACTTTTTGCAACTGTAATATATGATACTTCAGAAAGCTACGAGAAGATTGTGATAGATGATGATTCTATTTAAAGTAAACAGAGGATTGCGAACACCATGATGGTACTAATAAAATGTAAAAGAAAATGTACCCATCAGCAAAACATGATGGTACTACTAAAATTGAATAAAAGATTGTACATAATAGCAAAATATGATGGTACTAATAAAATTTAATAGGGATTGTACACATCTCGCTATTATGAGGCTGGTAATGTCTCAAGCTTTTACTAATTAGAAAGACAGATTTTGTAAACTTGATAATAGCTTATCAAAATGTGAACGAATTAAGATCTTCCATCTTTATCACAAATTAATACAGGCCTACTGGTTTACTGATTTCGTGAGAATTTACTTGAAATTAAATCTAAAACTAAAAAGAGTTGATTTGATCATGCATTGACTAGCTAAAAACGGGTCTACCATCAACATCATGCAGTGATCATAATAATATCAACAACATAAGGAATCTCTCCTTGATAACAATTGAATTTGTTTGTTCAATATTTTCAATAAGTCATATGGCGAGTTCAACCACTCTAAATTACCTCACATTTATCAAACGAAAGGGTCAAATGTAGATAATATAAACACAAACGTTTAACACAATAGTTAAGGTGCGTAATTTGCAACTTTGTCTTTTAACTAAAACGTAGAATATTAGAGTTTTTAAAAAATATTGTTGTTCATTTTTTCTAAAATGCACAGCACATGTATGTTTACTGTCTAAATTGTCAGTGCTATATCTAAGCTTCAGTCTATGCTCTCATGACACTGCTAGTTTTAGCAATAGTTAACATTCATGTGCGAAACTTAATTTTTATCCCATCATTTAAAACATATACTAATTTTAGCCTCATCTTTAAAAAAATGATCAGTGTGTTTTATTTAATTTCAACCCCACCATTTAAAAAAAAATGATCAGAGAGTTTCCGAAATGTTATTTGAGTAATTATATTTTGCAAGCATGTCGTATTTATGAAATAAATAAACATCTTTAAATGTTCTTTGTGTTAACCGTCCACTGATCATTAGCTTAATTAATTACCGATAATCAATAAACAGTATATAAACAGCAGAGGCGTATCCATGTTTTCGTTGTAGGGGGAGCGAAAAGATAAAAAAAAGGCGCCGAATTTTTAACACGTTCTATATACGTGTATTATATACGTGTATTATATATATATATATATATATATATATATATATATATATATATATATATATATATATATATATATATATATATAAATTACTAGCTGTATGTCATTACTTCGCTATGATGTAAAATAAATTGAAAGTAGCACTCTGAAGAAATAAGAAAAAACACACAATGTAGGCCGACAAAACAAAAATTGTATCAATCTAAACAACAACAACAAAAATATACACACACTACAACCAAAACAATGAACGTAACACAATCTGTTTTGTAATTCTTGTAAAAAAAATTCTTACATAATAATTCCTGGGAAATTATTTAAGACAAGTGAAATAGGGGAAATAATCACTCTCTTAATATAAATATGTATATATCTACACATTTAATTATAAATGTCAAAACAAATAAATAATTTCTTTAGAATATAATGAAATTGCTTAACACAATTCGTGTTTACAAAATGTTTTTGTCTATAATCAAAATTTAATATATCGTCAGATAAATGCTAAAGTATTACAGCATAATGAAAGTTTTTAAAATCAGAGTTGGTATAAAACCACGCATTTCGAGATCAAAGAAAAACACTTGGAATAACAGCCTACAGTTAACTAAAACTTGGTCTTTTATTTCAGATCATATACTTTTAATTAACTACTACTTCTTTGTTTTCTTTAAAGATCATTTTTAACATAGTGATAGGTATGAGTTAGATCACTGTATTGATCACCAACCTTTTTACTGGTAATTGCAAAAACAATATTCACAGAGTTTTACGTTTAAAAAAGCTAATTTTCTGGCGGCATGGTACTTTGGTACATCATTACGCGTTTTTCTACTTGTACTTAACAGATCAGTTCGGGGTGGGTTGGGGGGGGGGGGGGGAGGGTTCAACTTCATTCACCACTGTCCTGTCACTTTAAGTCAATTATCCAACCCAGTGTATACCTAGGTGTGACATTAATGTCGACACAATTGTGGTGGTGAGGTGTGTGTGTGGGGGGGGGGGGAGATAACCAACTCAGACTGAACATAGCATCAGTTTTTAGATGACTGCTCTAAGCATACATATATATTACACAAATATATATTACACAAATATATATTATAGAAATAGATTTAAATAAGTAGCAGTGGTTATGACAATATTTGTTTTTACAGAGGGGTCCATGGGGGAGGGGGCTTGTCAAAATTTTCCCACCACTACGCAGTTTGATCATAAGTAAATTTAAATAGAGGTGCCACATCAGTTGTATTTGTTTCTATATTGTAATTATTTTTTAAATTAATCACACGATTCAAACTGAATATATGAAGTAATTATGTGTGAAGTTTTATGTATAACATTTTCTAATTCAATTGGTCGTAAGCAAATACATTATACAGTTGCCTTAAACTTAACATCCCTCTTGCAAAGTGGTACTACCCGTAGATTTTTTTTAAACCTTGCAATGCATCATAATGGTTATTTTTAGAATGGCAAACTGATGCAGCTGTTAATACGTGTTGTAAACGTAGACACTACTAGACTAGTACTATAATGCTTAATTGCTGCATGCAAAGAAATCTTGTGATTTACATAGATGTGCCGATCAAAAATGTTTTTTAACAAATATCATTGTTTAAAACTTTGAGTTTAAAAAGTTTCCAAAAAGGCGCCACTTTGCTAAAAATCGCCAGAGGGGGAGCGGCCGCTCCCCCTGCTCCCCCCCCCCCTGCGTACGCTACTGATAAACAGAGTTCAACAACATATGATCAGAAGTATTTCAGTTTAAAATAGGCCTAAAACCACGTTACTTCATCATATCTATATTGAATACGTTGTTACTAGTTTTTAATACCTTACGTTAAATAAAACCCATGAAAATATTTGTTTATAAAACATGAGTTGACTCGACTTCAACAACATTAGACGCTGTCTTAATTTCTTGCGTGTTGCATGTTTTACAACAACAAAACAACGTTATAAAAAAATAAATAGAATGGCCTTGGCCCCAGGTGTGAAGTATCGAAGTCCAACCTGCGCTGCTATTTTTAGGGAAATTTAACCGAATTGTGTCACTCACTCCTACACAGACACGTAATTTATTAACTTGTATTTTTTAAGTGTTTTTCTGACTATTAAGCTAAAATGTAGTTAATCAATTCAGATTAAATGAGTTTGATTGAGTATGGTTAAACAAGCAAAACACAGCGCGCTAAGTGATCCTCAATGTATTAAGTATGAGAGGCACCTTTTTTTTCTTTGGTAAAAGTTAAGTCATATACTTCTACTATAGACAATCGCACGATAATCTAGCTTAACTTACAAGACTGTTGATTTAAATTAAAAGACCACATATTAATAGTGTGTTTAATAGTGGTATTTCGCAATGTCTAGTATCATTTTAACTCTAATCGAAATAAAAAGAAGCATAATAATGTTCTCATGTTATGTTGCATTTCATACATGTATTACAAAATGACACAATAATAAATTACATACAATATATTTAAAACAAAGCTTTTTTGAATTTGTAATTATTTTTTTATGTAGAAGGCTGGTGCAAGTTGTTTTGTCTATGCGGTTTAGTTTTTCATATCTAAGAAAAATATCCTGAATTTCTCTAGCTTGAGAATCAGTTTGCTGAAGAAAAACTAATTTAGCAACATCCTGCAATTACCTTCAAACAAACGAGATGTGTAGAGGTTTTCACGAAGATTTGATTCAACAAACGGCTAGAAAGTATTACAGGTAAGTGAAAGCTGCTGTCTTTAATGATCAGTGCAAGCTTTTTTACGGTCTAATCAATATAAATAGTTTATTAAGCGTTTAAAACTATCTAGTCAACTATAACGTGATTATGTGATTGTGTATAATCTAATCTTTATCACTTGCTATATGGCTCGTCAAACAACTTTATACAACTTTATTTTGTATTTTTAAAATCATTTATATAGCGTAAAAGAAAGGAAACCATGTTCCCCTAAACTTATCAGTAACATAGTTTGTAATTTGTATATTTTTTTTCCATTCAGCCATGATACGTGCATATATCCTGATGTTGGTGCTTGCAATAGGTCAGTAGAAATACCACGTTTTAATCGTTTACCTAACAGCTTATTGTGCATTTGGCTCAACTTAGTACTTTAATCATAGTGGCTCCCGTGGATTAAAAAGCAACAATAAAAAAATGCACAATGCCTTCGTGTAGGGCATAGGTGTAACAGTCACATGTGGGAGTATTTGTTTTGGGTGAATGTATGTTACGAGTGGAGGTGTAAACAGGCTATGTAGGAATATAAATCTACAAAATATTGTGGACAGGGGCATGCGCAAAAGAAAGGAGGAAGTGCAGTAGATTGAAGGTGAAAGGCGTTGTTTTTTGGTAGTGTAGCTGCTGTATCTGTGATATCAATAAAATTGTAAAAATCACCAGGATAAGGGTTGTTAGGTGTTATCTATCAGGCCTTAAAAAATAATAACACAACAGGGATGCGGTTTGTATTTGCCTTTAGTTTGTGCCATGAAGTTGGCTGTACACACAGGGTGTGACAATAGGGCAGAATACAAACTTTACTATGCCTCCTGTAGGGCATAAGTCAACAAGAAAACACTACTAACCCCCCCCCCCCCCCCCAGTCGTAGACGAGCTGCCTGAGTTCATGCCATTGTTTGCCTCAGGACAGCACCTCTTCTACCTCTCTCCCGCACGTCCCAATGACCCCCCCCCCCTCTATTTCTCTCACGGTGGAGACAATCTCAAGTTTTTATTTGTGGCGCTACACTTGTCCCCTATCATGGTGACCTGTGGGTGTTCTGATTGTAAATGCAGTGGTGATATGTAAATAATCATCTGCATTTATCCCAGGCATGTCTATTGTATTATGAACATAAACTCTAGGCAAGATTGTTGTATAAGTACGTACATTGAACTCTAGGCAAGTCTCTAGTAGTATGTAAATAAACTCTTGGAACAAGTCTTGGCTACAAATTCAGTTATTTAATCTACTTCAAGAATCCGTGTCTGAACATTTTTGTTTGAATGTATAAATAATAATTTAAGATAATTATTTAATATTTTTATGTTAAGTATCTTTAAGGTTTAGAGAATTTTGCTATTTGAAATTGACTTTTTTATTTAAAAACAAATGTGTAATAATTTCTATAAACCATTGCTATATTTAAAAGCAGTTTACCGTGTATTCTATAACACTTAATAAAATAAAATAAGCCTCGCTGATCTGAAATGAAGTTGCTAATGCTAAGTGCTGGATCTTTGTTTTTCTGTACACAGGTCAGGCCAAGCCGTGTTCTAAAGCCTGTATCGCAGCTGACCGGCCCGTGTGTGGCAGTGACGGCAACACCTACCCCAACAGCTGTGCTCTAGAGAGCAAGAACTGCCTACAGCCCAGCGGCTCAACTCCCATCACTAAGGTCAGGGACGGTCCTTGTAAAAAGAGCTGCACCGTAACGTGCACTGATGAAGACAAGCCCGTCTGCGGCAGTGATCTTGTGATGTACAGGAACCCATGTCAGATGGACAAGGTAAACTGCGAATATCCTCAAACCCGACCCGTGGTGGCCGTGGTGACCGCCGGCAGGTGTCGCCCTCAACCCATCGGCAACAGCTGCCCGTCGTCTTGTGTCCAGGGTGTGGTGGACCCTGTGTGTGGGGATGACGGGACGACCTACAACAGCTACTGTGAGCTCAGCATGGCTAGCTGCGACCATAATGTTAGGTTTGCTTATGGTGGTCCGTGTAAAGACGTGTATTACGAGTATTACGGCAAAAAATAAATTGATGTAAACAAAATATTAATGCCGTAAAATGTACTAGATTAAATATATTGTTCTGAGTTATGTTTTTATTTTTATTTTGTGAAATTTTTACAAACTTTTTCTCAAATTATGCTAATTACGTATACAACAATTACTCAAGTTATTATTCAAAAAATTGTGGTAATCGATTTCTGCCATAATTTAGAACAATATTGCCGAAGAAAGTTTTCAAAAATATCCTTTCGTTCGGTCACAAATTTTTTTTTTAATTAATTAAAATTTGGACCGAATTAGTAGGCATTTTTATCCAACCACACCACACGCGTCATCACGTTCAATAGCTGCGCCATCACGTTCAATAGCTGCGCCATCACGTTCGGTAGCTAGGCGCGCAATGGTTTTTAGTCATGTAACTCTATTGTAAATAAAACATGTAAAATACTGAAAAAAAATTAATAAAAAACGTTTTAATAACTAACCAATGGTTTTACTAACCCTGCTCTTGATTTACGCTACGACAGAGCTATTTTTAGATAACATAAGGAAATTGCGCTTAAATGTCACTAGACTTTTTAATTAACTTGTTTTTAACGCATTCAGTTTTTAGAGATTTCTGGGTAAAATTTTAAATAGATTCGGTTTTAAAAACAAATATTAAATTATATCCAACCCGCCTTTCACACATTCAACTTCTCTCAGATTGCCAAACGCCACCCATCCACCTTATATCCATTGTCATCATCCACCTTTTCTACACTGTCACCAGCCAACCATCCACCTTCCATCACTCACTTGCCTGAATTAGCACATATCTCTTACACGGGAAGATGTTACAATTGTATGGAGCATGCATTATATATATATATATATATATATATATATATATATATATATATATATATATATATATATATATATATATATACATACATATGTATATATATATATATATATATATATATATATATATATATATATATATATATATATATATATACTTTGATTTTTGGGAGGAGGGGATGACACCGGGTGACGCCACTGATCAGACCCCCTCAGCCCTCACAGCTGATAGACCCAGGGGACAGAGCGTAACCTGCTCAACTTGGAATCAGCTGTGTCGCGTGAGTTGGTAATCATATCGTCTATGGGGCTCTACTCCTGTTTGATTTCGTTTTCTCTTTTAGATGGGTTATTGTCCCCCATCTAACGCGTCACATCTGCCCGAAAATTCAAACTCAACACAGCAACCATGCTTTTAACAGATAGACCACTATCGTATTTAGATGAGCCGCAACCATTTTGTTTAGAGTTAGGAGCTCAAAGTCAGTAGGCCGTCCCGGAGTCCACCCAACTCTGATGGGTACCTAACTCACGTTAGGGAAAGTAAAGACGGCTGGGCTTAGTGCTGAGCACACTATCTCTTCATATGCCGAGGTCACATAAACAAGTGAACTCTACTTCACGTGTCCTATAGATCATCAGGTTTGAAAAGGGACCTTTTTTACTTTTCAGGAGCTCAAAGTAAAAATAAATATCAATAATTAGTGACACCGGTTTGTATGGAAACTTATCAGCTTGTGAGCGATGTATAGAAAATTAAACATGAGGATCTTCTACATATTTTAGCAACCAAAGCTTTTATGACAGAAAGCAAATTAGTTTTATTTTATTTTTTTCCGCTCATTTAAAAGCTTGTTGCTATACTATAAAGGTTTTTTTTTAAATATTTGTTTTATTTTCTGCTTTTTAGTGATTCCTAATTTATTAAGCCGACACCACTAAAAATCTTTGCTTTAAAACACCATCAGTAGCACGCGATATCCAGAAGACCATTATATGCCTCGTGCAAGCAGCCGTCCCTGATCATATTTTACGGACGATAACAAGCTCTAAATCATGTAGCCTCCCCTTAGTTTTAAATCGTTTAAAAAAACTTTATTATCTGCCCCTAGTGGCCACCATTTGATCGACCGGCTCAACGATTGTAAACATTCTCGTGAACAACAGCACATCTGACAGTTAGTGTGATTGCGTCCAGTTAGTTATCACCCTAATTGTTATTTATTTTTGTTATCTCCCTTAGTGTCAAAACCGTTAATTAATTTTAATGACTAATTAAGCATCTAAATAAATTAAAAAAATAAATTGACTTATTCTATCATCAAAGTAGAACGTATCTTGAAAGTTTGAGCGAAATCGCTGCATTAAAAGTGGGCCAAAGTTGAGCAACAAGACGTTGCCAACTAAATAAAAGTTTGTACAAAATAGTTACACTTATTCTTTGGTTCCCATTCTACATCACACACACACACACACATCTATCTTTCTCAAATACACACTACCGCAAAACAGCAATTAGCATTTTCGTCAGTAACATTTTAATATAACAATATTTTCTAATTGCTGTTGTTTTCTAAAACTAAATTTAAAACCTAAAAATAAACCTATCGATCACTTTCTCGCAAAAACACTTCGATTACTTTGAACTAGAAAAACAGCGGTCCTCAAAGGATTTGTGTATAACCCTTAAATGTCAACGTGTTTACTTTGTTGAGTTTTGATTACCAGCGGAACTAAAAGAAAAACTGCATTGATCACATGAACAAAATTTAAACTCAATAGTCCATCAGTTATTAATATCCATAACATTTATCAGATTATAGAGGTTAGGCTAAATAAATATACCCTAAATGTGTTATACATAAACTCAATTGAAAGTTTTAGCTCATAACAGCGTCTTCACACTGTAGGCTACACTTGTAAAATCTGCTAAGTTTTCAAACATTTTCAAAAATAAATTAATTTGCCTTAATACATTTTTAAATTAATCGTAAACTATTGTTTTAGGCAAGTTTTTGTTTTAAAAGATATACTTTAAAATTCGTAATGCATTTAATTTAAATGTCGTTGGCTTTTGAACACACACTTACCGAGTACTTACATGATTTGAGAACCGCTTAATGAAAATGCTGAAGTGTGCAACAAAGTTAATGAGTATAGTGTCTGTATCGAATAAACAACGACTTAATTAGCTGAGGTAAGCATAAATTACTCAAGTAACAGCTTTTTGGTGAGAGGCTAGGGCTATAAGATACTAGCGGGAACCCCGTGGAGACATTTCATTGAGCCAGCTAGCAGTGAGCAAGGTAAGGTACGGTTAATCTTTTTGTGGCATTGAACCATCATGACTTTTATGTACGCTCGAGTCTACCCAGCTTTAATAGGTACCTGGCATAATACAGATTTAATGGGTACCTGACGTAATACAGCTTAAAGGGTACCGGGTTCAAGACTACACAGATTTGATGTGTACATGATTTGAATTTAACCCTTCTCCGATGGGTACATAATATAGCTATATAGATATGACTTGCACTTGGCTTCAGTCTAACCATGACTTAACTGTACGAGAGAAACTCTAAATTTGGTTGGGTTAAATGATAATCTCTTCCATAGTGTTTACTGCGAGTGAGTTCTATTGACTTAAACACGGATTTATATAGTCTACTTACAGTTCAAAATATGTTGAGCATAAAAATCGTTTCAAAGAAGAAATTCCTTTAGTAAAGTGACACGTCTTTTTTTTTACTTTCAGACATGAACTCTGTATTTTTCCTTGCTTTGGTCCTAGGCGTCGGTAAGTAGAGGAGTTTAGTTTATTTTTCTCATATTTTATCAGTTTTTGCATATGTATAGCTTTATTGAATTTTATAAATAGTAAAGATTGAAAATGATAACATAAACTAATTATCTTATTGATTCGCATCTGGATTAGAATACAATTTTAAATAATCGAAGGTGCACGATACACATGTTTTACATTTAAAAAATTAAGTTCTATATTAGTCTGTTTTTCAACGTATAGTTTTTTTTTTTCAACTAGTAACACTTGTTTTTTGGAGTTTTAATATTTCATAAATCAATCAGTATTGCTAATATTTCAATCCGCTGTAAGATGACATCATTAGGCCAAACTTGGGAAAGTTTCATAAGCCTAGCCTGTGGATTATTTTCTCTTTCGCTTGAATCACGTACCAATGCATATTTTACTAGGTCATGCAACGTATATAGAAGCATTTATTTCAAATAATTAACCTGAAAGATGATTAATTTAAAATGCTAATATAGTGCTGTAGAATATTTCAATTGTCAAACTTAATTAATTATTTTAAGACTAGAATTCGCAGTATATTAAGGCATTGGGATACGATAGCAGCATTGAAAGTTTTTAAAATGCTGGCCTGCGTTATGTTTAAACATTTGGAAAAAAAACATATCAATTATGTCTTATTAACCCTTTACTTATGGATTTCTCTAACAGCCTATGGACAGCGCGACGACGACGCCAAATGTTTGACTGGTTGTAAGATGAACTATGACCCGATGTGCGGCAGTGACGGCAAGACCTACATCAACACCTGCGCCCTCAGCATCAAGAACTGCGGCAAGGACGTCAAGGATCACGTGACGGTGCTGTACAAGTCCCCGTGCAAGGACACGGATGACTGCCTGAAGCCGTGCGACAAGAAGTACGATCCAATCTGTGGTACCGACGGCAAGACCTACTCCAACAAGTGCGTCTTGGAAAACGCCAACTGCTACAAGAAACCAGAGAACCAGGTGCAGGTCGACTACAAGGGGGAGTGCAAGAACTGCCCGCGTGACTGTACATTTGAATACAATCCTGTATGCGGCAGTGACGGGGTCACCTACAGCAACCTCTGCCATCTGAATGTCGCCAGCTGCCTTAAGCCAGAAGAATTTATCCACTTTATCTTCGAAGGAAGCTGCACTGATAAAAGCAGCTGCCCTAGAGCCTGTACTAAGGAATATGAACCGGTATGCGGAAGTGACGGCAAGACATACGGAAACGCCTGCTCCCTGTTCGCAGCCAACTGCGACAAACCAGACGACGCTCAAGTAACCATCGCCAAAGTTGGAGAATGCGACAAAATGAAATGCCCGAGACCATGCCCGAGAATTTATGACCCCGTCTGTGGAAGCGACGGCAACACCTACGACAACCAGTGTATCCTTGACAACGTTAACTGCTACAAGACACCCAGCGAGAAGATAACGGTAGTCCACCCTGGTGTGTGCAAGACTACGACCTGCCCCAGACCATGCCCGAGAATTTACGACCCCGTCTGCGGGAGTGACGGCTACACCTACGCCAACAAATGCGAACTGGACAACGTAAACTGCGACAAGGATCCGGAAGATCAAATCACCATTGTCTCAAGAGGTCAGTGCCCAACACAGTGCAGGAAACCGTGCACGAAGATAATCGACCCCGTCTGTGGAAGCGATGGAATCACCTACCCCAACAAGTGCGAGTTTGACAACGCTAACTGCGATAGGAAACCAGAAGATAAAGTAACCGTTGCTTACAAGGGACGGTGCTCAACTAAACCTTGCCCACGGCCATGTCCATATATTCTTAGACCAGTCTGTGGTAGCGATGGAATCACCTACTCCAATGAGTGTGAGCTTGACAACGCAAACTGTAATAAAAAACCCGAAGAAAAAATCACAATAGTAATAAGAGATTCCTGTTCATCAAGCCCATGCACTAAGGTGTGCCCGAAAAACTACGTTCCTGTGTGTGGTAGCGACGGCAAAACATACCCCAACAAATGCATGCTTGACAACGTCAACTGCGGCCAAAAACCTGAAGACAAGATAACGATTGTACATATGGGAGAATGTGATTCGCCAATCACACCTTGTCCAAGACCTTGTCCCTTGAACTACCAGCCACTCTGCGGTAGTGACGGCGTCACGTACTCCAACCAATGCGATCTGGACAACGCCAACTGCAACAAGCCAGACGAAGATAAAATAACGGTTGTCCACGAAGGGGAGTGCTCATCTAAGCCCTGCCCTGGGCCGTGTCCGAAGATCTTTAAACCAATCTGTGGTAGCGATGGTCTGACCTACGCCAACCAGTGCGAGCTAGACAACGCCAACTGCAACAAAAAACCCGAAGAGCAAATCACCAAAGCTTACGACGGCATCTGCAAAACCTGTCCGACAGTTTGTCCCACTTTGTACGCCCCAGTCTGCGGGAATGACGGGAAGACGTACGACAACTTGTGCAAGATCCAGGTCTACAACTGCAACAAAAAACCCGAAGAGAAGGTCACGGTTGACTACTTCGGTCCATGTAAGGGCGTCAAGTGTCCACGTCCTTGTCCACGCATCTACAGGCCACTGTGTGGAAGTGACCGGAAGACCTACAGCAACCCATGCGAACTGGACAACGCCAACTGCAACAAAGTCCCAGAGGATCAGATTACTGTTGTGTACGAAGGTGAGTGCATCGAGTGTCCGAAGTTTTGTCCAGCGGTCTACGCCCCTGTATGTGGCAGTAACGGCGTGACGTACAGCAACGACTGCATGCTCAAGGTCGATAACTGCTACAAGAAACCGGAAGAGCGAATCACCGTAGTCCACACTGGCGTCTGCGGCAAGCCAGTCTGCCCTAAAGTTTGTCCCAGGGACTACAGGCCTGTGTGTGGTACCGACGGCGTCACCTACGACAACAAATGTCTGCTCGACCAGGCCAACTGCTACAAACCTATCGAGGAGCAAATACAAATCGCTCACCAAGGAGAATGTAGCGACCACCCTACCCCAGAGCCAGACTGCCCTAAAGTCTGCCCTTACAACTACTCACCAGTCTGTGGGAACAACAGCATCACTTACGACAACCTTTGTCATCTGAAATACGCCAACTGTCATCGCCAATCTGGAGAAGCTGAAATCACTTTAGCTCACGAAGGAGAATGTAACGTCCACCCTACCCCAGACCCAGACTGCCCTAAAGTCTGCCCTTACAACTACTCCCCAGTCTGCGGGAACAACAGCATCACCTACGATAACATTTGTCTTCTGAAATACGCCAACTGTCATCGCCAATCTGGAGAACCAGAAATCACTTTAGCTCACGAAGGTCAATGCAATCCCGACTGCCCACGAGTCTGTACTCAAGAGTACGATCCTGTTTGCGGCAGTGACGGAAAAACCTACCCCAATCAATGTATGCTGAAGGTAAAGAACTGCAAGAAGCCGGAAAGTGAGCAGATAACGATCCAGTACGAGGGGGAGTGTCTGACCAAATGCCCTCGTCTGTGTCACAGGACTAACAAGCCTGTGTGTGGAAGCGACGGGGTCACGTATCTCAACCGTTGCATCATGCGGGCCGTCAACTGCAAGGGTCCTTTCCCTAAGGTCACCGCCCTGTACCGGGGTATCTGCAAGGATGCTGACCGCGTCTGTCCGGGTGGGTGTGCCAAGATTTACCTCCCCGTCTGCGGAAGTGACGGTAAAACCTACGGCAATGTCTGCTCGTTTGCTGACGCCACATGCAAGCTGCCTGCTAATCAGCAGGTGATACTCACATCCAACGAGGCTTGTCAAGTGTCTTTTGGGTTCAACAATTAACAAAAAAAAAAAAAAACATCAATGAATCGTAAAATTAAATAATTAAAAAATTCTGGCAATCTAAAACTGAAAGTTTTGTTCAGCTTTTATTATTTACATTAAACATCTAATGCTAATTCTAACCTAAGTTCTCTCTATATATCTCTGCCTCTTTCTCTATCTCTCTCCACATTTGAATATACATATATTATAATTAAATAAAATATTTAGAGATCGAACACACGTATGTCAAGCAAATAAATGTTTCTAAATGTAGATCAATTATCTGGTTGGAAAAAAACTATTTAAATAGTTTAAGAAATGTAATGTCATATGGTAAGTCTGCACAGTGTCACAGATTAGGCAAATGACGTCTTTAATGTTGCATTTATAGAGCATACAGACCAAGGTGAGTGTAACATTTCCATTGAAAACAAAACAAACACTTTCTCAGCGGTTTCTTTTTTTTTGTCACACAAAAGCTAACGAGGAGAGCATTAAGGCCGTGGTTTAAAGAAAGTATAGTTTTCCTTCCTAACATGACGGTGTATGGAGCAAGTGAAGTAGAGTTTACCAGTCTCTGTGACCTCGGTATATGAAAGATAGTGTGATCACCACTATGCTCAGCCGCCGTACTTTACTCAGTGACGGTCTACTGACGTGAACCCGGATTCGAACTCGAGACTTACGGGTTAGCAGTCTAGCTCTCTATACCTAGGCCGTACCTTACAGCATTGGGTACACAACCAATTAAACTAATGTTTATTTCGATAAGTCTTAGCTCCAGCTCTTTCTCTCGTGTATATAAACATTACCGGCTTAAGATTTTGTTCATTAGCCTGGCATTCCTCTCACCTATGATACCAGCTACTAGACACCTGGAGCTCTCACTGAGACCTTTTGCATCCCACCCAGAGGCGTTACAACTAGCTACCCAGGTTGGGAAGGGTGGACATAGATTGTGTAAACAAAAAAAAAACTACTAAATAAATAGTATAAATCTGCAAAATAAGAAAAACAAAAAGTAATTATAAAATATACTAAAATGTTAATGCTAACACTTAAAACAAGGATTTTAATACTTGGTTAGTTTCATAGAAAATCGAATTCATTCGTAAGGTTTTTTAAAAACTGTAATTATTTAACCAGACTTTCATTATATTACAATGAATTATAGCATCAGTAGTAATATATGTATCATTGTATGTACGGTTGTTGTGAACACACGGACACGCCTTACATGTGATCCGATACATTGCGCAACACATGAGACAAACAACCACAAACGGGTTACAAAACAAGACTGAATGAAACAAAGGCTCGTTAAAACTAAAATAATGTAATAGTAACTACGCTATCTACACCTAACACAGTCTATTCTAATACAAACACACACAAGCTAGTAAAACTATAATACAGTGGTTAAATACTAGTATAGACCTAACCTTTCCTAACTTTGGAGATCTGGACGAAAATGGGGCCATCACACACGTTTTCATACACCTTATACACCCTTTCAAAAACTGGACTATTACAACGAACGGAACAGGGTACAATGTACAAACAACGTTCACCCCATTTTATCCCCCTTCAATTGTTCACTGCAATGGTTCGACAGTAATGTATGTATGCATGTTCCGGTATATCTTACAATTGTAGCAATACTCTGGGTCAGTGTGATTTACCGTACCGCTATAAGACGATTGCCTGTTTCTAATCAGGCGTAAGTATTAGGTATGGTATACGTCATCGGTGTAGAAAGCTAGGCTTTGTTGATGGGGTATTACTTTTCTGTCTAAATTACTACAAAAACTGAATAGAATCAAAAACTAAACTTATGTGAGTTATCTTTGTTGCAGTTTGAAGCACTAGAGTCCAAAACAGTATTATGAGAAAATACTTTCTATTCATGCTAAAAGCTGCACTTTAAAGCATTACAATCAAAATGGGAGACAAACGATACATCAGGAGTACAATTTGAAGCGGTAGAAATAAACCTGGAGTGATCTCCCTTAAACTTTCTCGAATATTCTTATATAACACTACGGGGGATGGCAACTCGGGATATAGACAATATTTTAAATAGGGGGGCCTACATTTTTAATTACTTAAACTTTTCAAAATAGAATAGAAACTCGTAAAAAAACCCCACATCAAGTAAACGCCAAAAAAA